GCGGGAGCCCGGGCGCCGCGTCCAGAGGGGCCTCTCGGACGTCGAACGCAGGACCCCGGGCCGGGAACGGCTTCGGACCTCACGTCTAGACTCTTGGCAACCGGGGACCCATGTGCAGTGGGCGCCGGGCAGAGCCCAGCCGCTTGGGCGCCCAGAGAACGCGGTCTCTGTGACCGTCCGCCAGCGGCTCCTGCGGGCTCTCCAGCCTTGTCCCCTTCCTCCGGGAGGCTGCTCCCACCGCCCTCGGACTCCGAGGACAGCCGAGAGTTGTTGAGGTGCGTCTGGGTCCGTCTGTGCTTGTACAGGTTGCTCTGGGTCTTAAAGGCGATGCCGCAGGTGGCGCACGGGAAGGGCCTCTCTCCTGTGTGGGAGCGGATGTGCTTCTCCAAGACGCTGGGCTTCAGGCAGTCCCGGCCACAGTGTGGACACAGGTACTTGCCTGCGTTCCGCACCTTGCTTGGGCTGCTCAGCGTGGGCCCCAGGCCTGGAGACAGGACGGGCAGAGGCCCCACTATGTTCACCGTGAGCGTTGGGGCGGCTGGCTTCCCCACCTGGGTGGGGCCAGGCCCTTCGGGCTGCAGCATGGGGCTGAGGATGAAGGGCATGCTGCCTCCTTCCAGGCTGCCCGTCAGGAGTGGGGCGCGTGGCTGGAGGCCCCCTGGAGGCACTGTGTGGTACAGTGGGATGGGCAGGGCCTTCAGAAACACGGTGGGGGCCAGGCTCTGCTCTGGTGGCAGGATGACAGGACCCAGGGTCAGGTGAGGCGAGGCCTGCCCACCTGGGGCCCCTGGGGGACCAGAAGCTGGAGCTGGCTGGTCCCTGGCAGGCGAGGCAGCACAGGTGAGGTCTGGCACCTCCATCCCACATCATCTGGGTGGCCTGGGATGCCGGGCAACCTGCGGGCAACAACCAGACTTTACTGTGGGTACCTCTCTTCTCTCTTTGCACAGTAAACACTTCCCTACTCCCCATCTGGCATTTTATCACTTCCACTGAAGCCACAACCATCCCCAAGGAAAATACCCTTATCCCCACATAAGGAAAGGGGAAACTGAGGCTCAGAGAGTGAAAGCGACCTGTCGTACAGCTGATACACGGGTCTGTATGAATCTTGTCTCTTATTTAATATGCCAGAGGGAACTCGTGATTCTTGCCCTATACACAGGTCCATGGCAGGCTTGTCACTGTTGTCCCCCGACACCTAGCACAGTGCCCTGTGCAGAGGAGATGCTCAGAAAATGTGCTGACTTCATGAAAAGGAAAACCTGTGTAGCTCAGCAAGGTCCTCAAAGTCCATAGTGATTCCATGTACTGATTGAGTCCCTTTCCTCACTTGGGACTCGGTTTCTAGATCTGTAAAATGGGCAGAGAATCAGCACCTCCCTAGGACCCTTTCCATGACCCTTTCCACTCTGGAGTTCTGAGTCTGCTGCTGGATAAGGACAGTAAGGAATAAAACTGACCTGAGGGGAGGCTTACTAGATTTAGCAAATGAAAGTACAGGACTCCCAGCTAACTTTGAACTTCAGATAAACGATGCCCAATTCTTTAATATCATTTTGTCCCAGTTCTTGCATGGGTCTTGCATATACTAAGAAGTACATGTTATTTACCTGAAATCAAAATGTAACTGAACACCCTATATTTTATCTGGCCACCCCAGCGGGAAAAAGAGCACATCTTCAGCCTCAGGATCAGGCTTGGGTCTCTGCTCAAAGATGGGGCTTCCAAAGCCCCTCCAGACCTGGCTGGGATCCAGGTGGTTCCCTCCCAGCCAGGGTGAAGAGCTGGACAAATGAGAGGCAAGGGAGCAAGAGAGACCCAGCAAGCTCTTCCAGCCATGGAAAGGAAAGCCCGATGCAATGGGAAAATGTCAGACAGGCCCACGGCTGCACTTTGGGGGTCTCCGGATGCTTCCCTAGGCACTCATCCCTCAGGAGCCCCATAAACACACGTTAGCCACTCCCTAGCTTAGCTCCTCAAGAAAAACAAATCCAAATTCCAGCCTCAGCCGCAAGGTTGCTCAGGGAGAAATAGTGGCAGCTCACACTGGCTACAAGAGCTGACTGCTAAATCTTCAGACATTTTGCAAGCCAGTTGTTACACATGGCCATAATTAAAAGTTAAATTATATAAACTTTCAAGTCAATAAAGCCATATTAAAAGCAAAGTTCCTACAACTGGATATTCACATGCAAAAGGAGGAAAGTGAACCCCCTACCTCACACCACAGACAAAAACTGACTCAAAACTGATCAAAGACCAAAATGTAAGCGCTAAAACTACAAAACTCTTAGACAGAAACATAGGAGTGAATTTTCATGACCCTAGATTTGGCAATGAATTCTGAGATATGACACCAAAAGCACAAGCAATTCAGCAAAAAAGATAAATTAGACTCCTTCAAAATTAAAAACTTTTGTACATCAAAGGACACTATCAAGAAAGTAAAAGGACAACTCACAGAATGGGAGAAAATATTTGCAAATCACATACGTGATCCATCCAGAATATATAAGGAATCCTTTCAACTCCGTAACAAAAAGGCAAGCAACTTAATTTAAAAATGAGCAAAGGACTTGAATAGACATTTCTGCAAGGAAGATACAGAAATGGCTAAAAGCACATGTAAGGATGTTCCATATCACTAGTCATTTCAAAATCCAAATCAAAACCACAGTGAAATATGACTTCACATCAACTAATGGGGCTGTAGTAGTAGTAGTAGTAGTAATAATAATAATAATAAACTGAAACAAACAAGCGTTGGTGAGGATGTGGAGAAATTTTCACCCCTAAACACTGCCAGTGAGAATGGAACATTATACAGCCACCGTGGAGAATGTTTCAGCAGTTCCTCAAAAAGTTAAACAGAACAATCGTACGACCCAGAAATTCCACTTCTAGGAATAGATCCAAAAGAACTGAGAAAAAGGTGTCCAAACACTTGTACCTAAATGTTGGTAACAGCGCAATTCAAAACAGCTAAAAAGTGGAAACAACCCAAACGTCCACCAGCTGATGAGCGGGTAAACAAAATACAATCTATTTGTACAATGGGGTATTATTTGACCATAAAAAGGAAGGAAGCACTAACACAGCTACAACATAGGCAGAGCTTAGAACAGGATGTTAAGTGAAAGACGCCAGTCTCAAAAGGCCACATCGTATGATTCCATTTCTATATATTTATATATTTAATATATATAAACCCAGAATAGGCAAATTCATAGATACAAAAAACAGATTAGAGTGGTTGCCAGGGACGGAGAGAGAGAGAGAGAGAGAGAGGAGGGAGGAGAGAGAGAGAGAGGAGAGAGAGAGAGAGAGGAGTGGCAGCCTAGCTGGGTGCAGGAATCCCTCTGGGGTGATGAAAATGTCCTGGATCTAGATGGAGGTTGTAGTTGTACAAGGTTATGAATGCACTAAATGCCACTGGATCATAGAGTTAAAGTGGTGACTTTCATGTTATGTGAATTTTACCCCCACAGACAAAAGGAACTAAATATTCAAAGCTCACCATTTACTTTATTACATCTTAACCTGATCAGCACTGGAGGTTTCTCACGAGGATTGCATCAGGATGCTAGCGATACTATGTAACCGTGTGGCACTCCACATCTCCACCTCTTTCCAGCCACACGTTCAGGAATGTCATGTTCATAGCCTGGGGTTGGCTGCACTGGGAGTATTTATACTACAGAAACTGGCAAATGCTACACCCAGCCCTTTATTCTTTTGTATCCCGAGACTATCTCTCCCGCTCTCTGTGCCTCCTAAACCTCACATTACAGATCTCACAGCACCGTGCCACCAGCCTCCAAAAATCTGAGATCTTTTCATTTTTTTAAGGAAAGATTTAAGGACAGAACTCGTTAGAGATTAGTCGGTGCTTCTAGAATTCCTAGGCACCGATGAGGATGGAAGACAAGGCTTTCCTCAAGGTGCCTTTCTACTTCCTGCTTTCTACTAGCTGAGGCATTTCGAGGTGCTTCCCAGGTGAACCGCCTTCCTGGCC